TCACCCGACTTCTACCGCGTTTAAGCAGGGCTAAGCACTACTCGAGCCTGAGCTATATAGGATTCAGGGTAACAATATCTGGACAAGGATTGGGTAACCAATGCAGCAATGGTTTGCATCCAACACCTAAACTTATTGCAACAATATATATATATGTAACAATAATACTGTAACTGCATTTCAGAAATTAGGAGGCTTAATATGCTCCGGGGCTTGCCTTTCACAAAGTTGCAAGGACGGTGGTCCGAGCACTCCACGGTGACCTCGTCTGGCACTTCTCCTGAAGGGTGCTCCTCCTGAATCTCCGGTGCCGGCTGCTGCTGCTCGCTCAGTTCCTCGAATTCCAGCAAGGTTACTCCTTCCGGTACACCTATTGCATGCCGATGCAAAAGATAAATATCATGGATGCATAAGGAATGACATGATGCTCATGATGAATGAATCACAGTGAGTGTTTACGAAAGCATCACTGGACACTCGTTTACCGAGTAATTAGCTCTATTCAAATCACTTTAAGCATGTATCTAACTTAACTTAAAGAACAAGAGCAACTTACCTAACTTGCATAACCTAAGATAAAGATGCTCATCTTCAGTTAAAGGCCTAACACCTAAGAACATTACCACAAACTTAAAAATAGTAAAGACATACTTAAAATAACAGTTAAAGCTTCACATGCAAACAAGTAGTTACTTAATTCAATCATAACCAGAGTTCTATAAATCCAAATGACCTGCAAGAGGACATTCTGGAAAGCTTATGAAATTCTCTACAATTCATTTGTAAACATCAAAGCATGATTCTTAAGTTAACCAAATCAAATTCCAGTAGACCTAGAATCTGTCCCGCAATGACAGGGTTGCTAACTTAATTATTTAATGATGATGCAAAAGCATAATTTGAGCAATCCAAGTTTACCAACTTGTTTTTCATACCTAAGAAACATCAGAAAGTATAGTGCAAACTTCTAAATAATTTATTTAATATCCTTTTCCAATTTATTTAGTTAATTAGGTGATTTAAGCAATATATAGTAAAACTATTCATAAAAATCTACAAAAATTACAGTAGCTATATCATGCTGCACATAGACTACCATAAAAAATTCAAAGCCATTGGGCAAGTAAAACTTGCTGTATCTAAAATAACAGATGACATGTCTATTTCTAGCATAATTAGGAAACCTTATTAAAAAGTGTCAAGCAATAGATTTCCCATTTTTCCTAGAATCCTTATAGTATAAGAATAGCACTCATCAAATTTTACCTTCACTGGATCTATAGAAAAATTATGAAAATTCACACAAGATCCACCCATTAATAAAAGGAAATTCTATAACTTAAAAACTACACATGCACTAGCTCTGAAATTTTAACCAGAGCTTCTACTAAACAATAACAGATTACCCACAAAATTTCATAATTTTTGGACCACAGAAACTCAAGATAAAATTCAAACAAGTTTGCATGTATCCAAAAACACATTTCAAAGTCCTATTTAATTCATCCAGAATTTCTAAAACATGTGCCCATATAATATTTTTATTAAATACTAGACAATACTAGGAACCCAACAAAATTGTAACCATAGCATTTGGATCTATATACTAGGCAATACAAATTTTTGAATACCAATACAAATCTGTGAAATAATAAAACAAAACAAATAAGGAAACAAAACTCAGCCACAGTTGGGCCGGCCCGAAGGAACAGCGGCCCACGAACACGCACTGGCGCGGCCCAAGACACGGCTCAGCCCAAGCTGGCTCCCGCTGCGCGCGTCAGCGACTGACAAGCAGGGTCCACGTGTCAGCGAGACAGGCAGGGGAGGAAAACAGGGCGGCGGCGTAGATTGTCACCGGTGACATCTCCGGCGAACTCGATGGCACCGGCGTGTTCCCCACACCCATGCGCATCTAGAGGACCCATCTATTGCAACGATTGCAGCGGCTAGAGGGGGTGGCGACGAGCACGGCGGCGCACGGCCGCCGCATGTTCGGCTCCAGCGAGGCTACGGCGCTGCTGCCCTAATGGTTGACACTACGAGCTTCGGTGGTGTTCCTAGGACCTAGCACGAGCCAGAGGAGGGGATAGCAATGGCGCGAGGAGAGCTGGCCATGCGGAGTGCTAACTCCGGCGAGGTCCGACAAGGCGGTGGTGGGGAAAAACCGGCGATTGGCCCTTACCGATGACGGTTGACTCGCTAGCACGGTGGAAAAGGGAGAGGGGATCACGGCGGGGCTCTGGGTGAGCTGGGCAACGCGTTTTTGCCAAGACACGGGAGCTAGGCGAGAGCGAAGTTCCGGCGGCAATGGCGGACGGCTCGGTGCTGCGCTATGGGAGGCGAAGAATGCAAACAGGGGCGTGCGAGTGCGTCGGGCAGGCGCGGGGTAGCTTCAAGACACGGCTGTCCGCGCCAGGGCATCCACGGCGCGTGGCCTGCGCGCTCAGGCGATCGGCGACGGGTGGCGCCACGCGTCGAAGGTTTTCTGAAACGGTCGGCCATGTTCACTGAACGTTTTCTGAAAACGCGATTCAGAGCTCCACGACGGTGACTGACCGAGCGAGTTTGACGATGATTATCTCCTAAACCGTGACGATCTAGACTATGCCATAGTTAACAAAGTTGCTCATCTATACGTGAACTACAACTCTTTCCACTGGAGCTCAAGCTGGTTTGGCTTGGTTAGGGAGATACAAGGTGACAAAGTTAGGTACATGAAACTGCAACACAGTTAAGGACTTAGAAAAATTCCTAAGTCTGAAATCAGCATGTACTTCTGACTTGTGGGCCATGTTTGAGCATGTTCTAGCCATTTTCATGAGTTGGTCATAAAACAACTTTTGTTCCTTGATAAATTAGCTACAACTTTGGTAAAGAGTGCACAGCCATGCAAAGTCTCTAAGTTGGACTTTTGACTCAGTCAAATGATGACACTCCAAGGGTCAATTCAAGTCAAACTTGCACTTGAGGGCATTTTGGTCATTTTGATCTACATGAACAATGTCCCAACAAGTAACCTAAGTATAGCTAAGGTGTAATAGACCATGATCAACCACTTTACAAAATTGTTATACCACTTCTAATGATCACATGTGATAAAGAAAGTAAAACAAGCAATTCATACATATGTTTCAATACAATGTTTCACATGTTGCATGACCTTGTTGTTATCCTATACTTGTCACATTACTACCATGTTGCCATGCTTCAAGATATGAGAAATTTATGTTGCATTCATACGTTGCACTACTACCACTCTAAGCAATCAAGCATGAAACACATACAATTTAAAATGTTGCATATGTAGGTTTCAATGATAATGACATGATGACATAGATAATGCACATGTTTATGAAATAACATGCAATTTAGTGGAAGCCTAAACACCTAGGGTGTTGCACTACAAATCAGATTTATAGGGCGGCTCAATATTGAACTGCCCCTACAAATAGACACCGGGTATTAAAAATTAAGCACTAAAATTTAAAATTTGTAAACGACCTCGGATGGAGAAACAACCAAAATGAAAGTTGTAGATCTCCAAAAGTTATGAAACTTTATAGTTGACAACTTTTTGATTTGAAAACATCTTGTCAAGGAAAACTACATTTGAATTTCCAAAAATTTAAAATTTTAATTTTTTAAACAATCTCGTATGGATAAACAGTAAAAATCAAAGTTGTAGATCTTGAAAAGTTATGAAACTTTGTAGTTGATAACTTTCTCATTTGAAATCATCTTATCATGGAAAACTACGCTCGAATTTCTCAAATTTAAAATTTAAATTTTATAAGTGACCTCGGATAGAGAAACTAATAAAATGAAAGTTGTAGATCTCGAAAAGTTATAAAACTTTGTAGTTAACAACTTTTTCATTTAATTAGTTTAGGGCCTCAAACAATCAATTTATGCTCAGTTTTGTATAATATGTGGGGAACCAAAATGGATTGTAGACACAAGTGATCGTGAGGTGCAGTGGTAGAGGAGTTTGCGCGCGAGGGAGAAGTTGTGGGTTCAAATCCCGACCGACGCAAAGTGTGCAAAAATCATGAAAAAATTCTACAACCATAGAGTGGGTGTGTGGCTGCCGGTGGGGACCTCCTCGGATTAAAAAAATTGCTATTTTTTGCCCCTTTTTCGTGATTTCTAGAAATTGATTTGTAGGGGCGGCTAGCCAACCGCCCCTACAAATCGGTGATTTGTAGTCACGGTTTGATAGGGGCGACTGCAAAAACCGATGCTACAGACCGTCTGGAGCCGCCCCTACAAATGCAATCTATCGTAGTGGATGGGATTCACTAACAGGGTGGACGTCCGTGGAACACAGAAGATGTTGGAAGCTCCTCGTGGCAGTCCGCAGTACTCCTTGAGGGCACAGCAAGACGACGAAGGCTATGGCGGCAGGGAGGGCGTGAGGGCAGAGGCCGGTGTGAGAGAGGGGGACGTCAGCTGGCGAGGGTGGGCGCTATGGCGAGGCCACAGGATTTATAGTAGAGGATTGATAGCGGTCTCTCTCTTTCCTTTTGTGTTGGGGGCGGCCGGGCAGGAGTGCAAGACCGCGGTCACCGGGGGATTGATGATTCAAATTCTCTTTCCTTCTGTGTTGGAGCAAGGCACAGGGGAGCCGGGAGAGACACGTTGCCATGTATGCTGGTGCCGCTGATGCTGCTTGGCGTCCATGCATGTTAGCTATCCGACGACATGCCTGCACTGTTGTTGTGCATGCAAACATGCAATCCGTACATGGATAGCACAATAATTTCCTACTTCCTATTATGTCGTGATTGACTCCATTAGTTTAACATTTCTGTTGTCGGGTGGGGATCGCACATAGATCCCATTTGGTCGATAGAGATAGCGAGGTTATGATTTGTGAACACCTATTTTTTTGTAAACAAAGTGCAAGCATGCGCCGTATTATCACATGGAACATAAATGGTTGAGTCCTACGCAAAATCGGAGGATTAGAAGATGTTTTAGTTCAGGAATGATGAGACTCACGAGAAGAACCCAGAGTACTCATGCCTAATCCTATAGCCGTCGCTACAAAAGACAGCCCAGCGGCCGGTCCATCCTTTCGCCACGCCATAGCCACTACCCTTGCAAACTACCTCTGGCAGCGACACCGGCACCGGGTCCATCATTCCATCCTCCCTCCATAACACCTCCCGGGCCGCGTCAACAGCTTGCTCGCGGCACATCACGCACTCTCGGTTGGTCCTGCTGGCCTCTGGCTTGCACCCGTGGGTGACGCCCTCGCCCTTCACCTTCCTGATGTATTGCTCGACCTCGTTGTCCCTGTAAAGGAGGACGCCAAGCACGTAGGTCACCACCTTGTGGTTAACGGCGGACGCCTGTCTAAGGCAGGCAGTGCCGACGGGTTCGTGCGGCACTGCGTGAAGACAAGCCTGAGCCCGAGCATGAAGTAGGACTCCGGGTTGCCGACGGTGGCCAGTTTGTCGATGAGGGCAAGGTAGCGGTTGGGGTCGAACCACCTCATGGGTTCCTCCTGCTCTAGTGCTACGTGGCTCCTGATGACACGCTCCATGCATGCTGCGCGCATGGTCAGGCAACTGCAAAGACACGCACGGTACACGTAGACAAATTAAATTTGTAAGTAATGTGACACATGCGTGGGTGGACTACGGACACGTACGTGCCACGGAGGCTGCAGAGGTCCTCCATCGGGTGCAGCGAGGTCGCGGCGACAAGCCCGGCGATCTCGATGACTATTTCGTACGGGAGCCCCAGTAGCATCCGCCGCGTCGCCATGCTCCTCATGAGCACCATGGCACCCAGCCGCTACTAGTTGCCGCCGGTCAGCTATGGCTGGACTGAAAGCAATGGGTAATGTAATAGAACCGACCAATTTATAAGAGCACAAGTATAATAGCAGCCCGCAAGCGGTCGCTCTATCATACTTGAGCCCATATAAACCCGGTAGTCCGTCGAGTACCGCGAAGGGTCTCGATTAACCATCAACATACAACCAAGATCGTACATGATTCAACATATATGTCACACGTTACATAAAGTTCACAAATACAGTTCATCCATCAGAGTACGAAATTAGGTTATTACAAACCAAGTTCAACAATAAGTGATTATTGGTTGATGTCAAGAGATTGCAGATGAATTGTATAATCATGTCAAACTAAAATTTCTGGAGAGAATCTTAAATTCATACAATAAAATAGAGGTATAATAATTCATTCTCGTAATATGACATCACCAATTTGATCACTTATCATGCTCACCACGCGTTAACATGCATGTCATATTTCACTAGTAAAACAAAACTAGAATTTCATTAAAGTTCAACCCATAGTGAAACGACATGCAAAGTGCCAATATTACACTGAAGTTAAATCACAAATAACGAACCTCAAGCTACAAGTCCATTACATGAATAACATGGGTACATCTAGTGCTTTAACTAGTCACTAGGCGACTCTAATCTTTAGCGTGCTCACTGTCGAGGTTGGAGATAGCGTCGTCCCCATCCTCTAGCTCCACTTCTTCTTCCTCCCAACCGTCATCTTCGACCATCATTTCTGGATCTTCTTCTTTGTCATTAAGGATCGGGTGCAGTTGGTTATTTAGAAAATGCACCTCATGCTGAAGATCAACCACCACGCTCTGGGTCTATGCAATCTGCTGGCGCAAGTCCCTCTCGGCATGGTCCTACTGCATGGTTAAGGCTTCAGCTCTGTTTCGTGCTGCCTCTGCCAGGGCTGCATGATTGTTTGCTTGGATCCGCTGGCGCGTAGCTGTGAGCGCCTCGGCACAAGCGGCCTCCAGCTGCTCCCGTAGTCCTGCTAGCACTGCCTGACACCTCTTGGGTGATAGCTCTCTGTTGATCAACTTGCTCCATCTAAGTGTGGAGATTTCCCAATGCTACATATGCCTGATCAGTTTCCTATCGAGCCTCACTTGCGGCCATTTTGTGCTTGCACACACGCTTTCTTAGCTTCCGCTGTGCAGCTTCGGCCCTCATGAGCCTATCCATGCAAGTGGTATAGGACTCCTACTAGAAGTCCCGGGTATCCTGACGAGTATATAATATCTTCATCACCGCAAACATTGCACTCATAGCGGGACTAGAGCTATCTGCCCGCTCATCCCGGTCTTGGATCAACACATTGCTGTTGCACTATGCCTAAACTATTATGGATGGATCCACACGAGGAAAAGTACCAGCGGCACTACCGGTAAGCTCATCCCTATGCTGCTGACATATCTGACTGAGCACCTCAAAAGCCACTACTTGGGCAGCTTCCCAAGGAGTTCTTCATCCAGATTTTGCCCTCCATTCCTGCTAGAAGGGTGCTTGGTTATGAGCTGGTATGGTTTGCTGTACTTCATACCATGGTTGTCCCTCCAGATATACTTCATTCTAGTAATAGAGGGGCAATTTGTAATACCCCGCATAATGCAAGACTCTCCAAAGTAGGGCAGGGGTACCAAACATTAACAAGAAATTCTCACTTCCAGCTGGTGCTGCCATCTGTACCAACAACATGGTGCAACTCTCATGAGACAATATCATAATGGATAAGAGTTACATAACCGAGTACGAGACTTATAAGGGGAGGAACAATGCAAGTGTGTAATGAATGATTGATCATGATGCATGTACGTTTTGTACATCCTCACAAACTTAGAAAAATTAAACTTCTAACGACATACACGGTGGCATATATGCGTTCTCTCATATATAACATAGCTAGTCAGGCTACACGTTTCGCTGTTAGTGTACCTGCACAAGAATTTCATTTCAACCCAACCCCACAATTACATATGCAGAATGTAAATCTGGGCTCTAGGTTGCAAGCTAAATACTTCCATACATATATACCCATATATATATACTTCTGTATCAAAGCTACCCGAAAGTAAATATGTCCCATATATACATATAAATATGCATATACAGTCATTTTAAAGCTAACCCACAATTAAATATTTTGGTATATATATGAGACATATATATACTTTAGTATCAAAGCTAACTCTCCCCATAGACCGCATGCTCACATCTTGCGATCATGCCACTGTGATGATGAGTGGCATCTTATCTTGGGCGTAGAGGCATTTGATCCATAAATTACCACTCAAGTGAATGGCATCCATACAATAGCACGCTGTATGGATGACGAAAGTAAAAACCCCCCAAGTTTGTACTTAATTAGCCACCTAAAATCCTTAACTAGGCATAAAGAAAGTGATCACTAGTACACTTTAGATTCAAACTTTAGGTTTAAACACCTATATATATCTATCAGTTGCCAAAATTGGTTTTGGAAAAACAAAAATCTTTGTGTTTAAATACACATGTGGCAATTAATGTTGAATCTTGCTCTGATACCAACTGTAGCAGAACCGATCAATTTATAAGAGCACAAGTATAATGGCAGCCCGCAAGCGGTTGCTCTATCATACTCGAGCTCGTATAAACCTGGTGTCAGCACATAAATTCGCCTTGTGCCGGGCACACGAGCAAGCCAGAAGGGTCTACTCGATGGAGCTGTAGATCCGCCTAATTTCAACGCCGGGGTGGTCAATCCAGCGTACTCCTCCTGAGACGTGCTAGTCAATTTGACCCTGCAATTGATAAGGAGAGAAAGTTTATCAGTAATTTAAAGTGGAACATGCCGGTGTTGCCAGACAATTTTGAATGTGCGGCTCTGAGAGCCAATGTGGAAGAAAATCGACTAAATAGCCGATTCCAGCATACTCATAAGAATGAATCAGTTAAAGCTCATGGAATTATGGAAGAGAAAATCGGTTATCATTTAGGATGAATACCGTTATTTAGACAAATATTAGTCAATGACAATAGGATGTCAATACTAATCAGTTTATACTAAGCCAATGACTACAAGTAACCGAATCCCTTTTTATATAAAAGAAATAACTCATCATCATTTAACCATTTAATAGAGATAAATCTAATAACATATTAGATCTCATCTATCGCTATGACGAGTGGGGCATGAGGCAGAATCATGCAGGCCGTAGAAACAACAATAGATTTGATGATCCTAACTTATTACTAATATTAGTGGGGCATAGGGCAGAATCATGCAGGCCGTAACACAATAATACGATCATGGGGCTAACATACCCCTCAATCTACCCTTACTTCAATGCAGTGGCGGAGCTTGCATGAATGTGTAGGGGGCCAATTCAAAGCTAAACTGCTACAGTAATTACCGATAGCAGTATAGACAATTGGAATTCTATGGAAAATCTTTGTTTCTTCAAGTTCTATCTATATAGACTACAATGAACAATTGGAATTCTGTCAAAGAAGAATGAACAATGTGTGGATTTACATACTTGTAAGATGTGATCCACTCATCAGCAACAGCAAGCATGATACGAGAGAGGCAGGAATTAATTGCGTGCATGCAGCGACATGCAAACCTCCAGAGTGTAGCCGGAGCAAGGGGGGCCAGGACCCAGTTTGTCCCCCATATAGCTCCGTCCGTGCTTCAATGGTCTCGTGGCATGAACTGTATATGTGAAAACACTCGATATCAACTAAAACAGCCGATTTAGGCATAGCACACAGTTAAGGTCATGCCCTATCAGGAACGAATCTACCAAATAACGGTCCCCACTCCATGGTGCTAACAGTGGGGTGTGTGGCAAAATCACACAGGCCATGATAATGGGCCATGGAACAGTTTTCGTTAGCCGGTAGATCTATTCAAGACCAGGCATGCCTTAACCGCACACTATGCGCGATCAATATTGACATAAAACAGCCGATAAAACATAACTCATCGTTTAAGGTGCAGATTAGATTAGTTTAGATTAATAAACGATGGGTTAAACAGGATATAAGGCCGATCTAGATCAATCCCAATTGGGCAAAGTGATATTACTGTAATTAAATAAATAATGGAAACAATAAGCAATATCGGTAACTTAATGAATCTATCCGAAGGACGCCACCCTTAGAAAGAGCTGATAACTTGACCTTAATCTAGTTCGAGCAGTGGAGGTCGATCGGATCGATACAGCCGTACTTGAACTAGGCAAGAGTCGATAACTAGCTTATACCAGAGTCGCAGTGGAGGTCGACCGGATCGATGCAGCCGTACGAATAGAAGTATAAGCCATGACGGTACTTACAAACAAGTCAAAGGTTGGCTGAACCGATGCAGCCCTGCTGGCTGAAGAACTCGTCGAGATCTACTCTACTCCTACTCTTAAGGGGTGGACGGAGCCGAAAAAGTAAGTAACTTGTATTTAATTGATTGTTTGTTCTTTACAATAGCCGCGGTCCAATATTTATACCCGGAGCCTAAACATGAATCCTACTCGAGCACGACTAATTACAATCTTTGGTATAAAAGAGAACATTCCTAATCTTAAGATAACTTGGACACTAATCTTTCCCTTTTTGTAGAGTCCGATATGCATCTCCCGACACCAACCGTAGCCCAATATCATTACTTGCTGACGTCATTCAAAGAGAGCTGATTCCAGTGTCTCCTCTGAATCAGCTGATATCAATCTTCATGCAGTCGAGTCCTTGATCGACACAATTTTGGAAGCTTTGAGTTCCCGTGCTCTTCTCTCCAAATTTTGGTGTAAACACATGCCCCCCAATTTTGGGATAAAAATGATTTTATTCCAAAATTCCTATTTATCTGTTTACCATGCCGTAACCATTTTGCTCCGAGATATACGCGCAACTCCTGACTTCCGGGGCTGAGCCTTATATAATGTCCCAATAGTATTTTTTCTGACTCACTCGGCCTATTTGCTTTCCCCTT